GCTGCCCCTTATACACAATTGTTTCTCGATTAAATTGAAAGCTTTACAGCATGCGAGTGCAACAGTAAATAAATCAGCTGCATCAAAGCTCACAGTCTGTCAATCAATTATCCCATTAGTGGGGAGCTTTACAGAAGGCCTTGTTTTTCTTGCTATATCTAACTCAAGCAGACTAGTGTGTTCCAAAGGGGCCAGATCCTCATCTAGTCCCGGATAACAAGGCGGACAGGGGGTCCCAGTGTGACCTCACTGTTACCCACACCAGCATCTATTATTATTTTCTTTTGGTGCAAAAGAATTAACTTAACAACAGAGCCAGGGTCATCCTCTATTCTCTTTATGGAGGAGGCGAAATGTGCTCATTGAAATAATGAGCATGCACACACAACATCTGACTCACAAGATCTCTGTGCGCTTTGAAGAGAACAAACACATTGGTGAAAACTTTAAGCATTCTCTTTATTTCTCTTCCTTGCGAGAATAAAACAAATATCATAGCAGACTCCAAAGCACTGCTCGTCTCCAGTGTACAAAACTAATCAGCCCGTGTTACTCGCCCAAGGTCTTCCCACTTTTTTATTAGCAGTGTTCAGCCCCCACAGTGAGGAACATGAAAGAGAATGCAGAGTGCTCAAAAGAGGGCTTCGTCTCCCCAATTTATGTCAATCTCACTTGCTTAAGCGTGTTTACAGAGAGATCAATTCCCAAACTCTGAGGGCCGACATTGTCAGAAATGAATAATTTAAAAATGATAACTTTAAACTTTCTGTTTTGTCATAATTGCCTCAGTAATATTCTTCCTGTTTTTTCTTTCTCTGCCAAAAAAACATGCATGGCATCAAAGTGGTGCTTGTTTATTTCATAGTGGGGACAAAAACCGTTTTTTTGTTGTGACTTTGACCTTTAGCTGTTTAGCTGTCTGTGGAGCCCTGATATCTACAGTTTTTAAACCTCTTCTTTGGTTGATTTCTAAGCATTTTTAATGAATACAAAGTTGACACATTAGTTTTCCTCGCCCTCTACTTAGCCCTTTAAATCAGTGTGAGGCCAGCAGCCCATCCATCCATCCCACTACTAAGCAGTGCTTAAGATCTTGCACAAGCATTAGGATGTGAGTATCGGCGCTCCATGGCTCATCAATGAATCATGGCCGACTGCTTTCCAGAAGATACCACTGTGTGAGATCTGCTTAGCTGATGAAAAATTACATCAACATCAAAGAAGTCCTCTTAAAAGAGCAAGTTTAGACAAATTAATATTTGATAATGCTGAAACCCCCGCATAAGCACACAGCCAGCGAGTGCCTGATAATCTCTTAAGAATATTATTAAAAGCCTTAATATGCCATATTTACTGATATTAAGGATTAAAACAGCATATAATATGCGTTTAAGAAGCGTTTTGCATATCAAAATACAATTTGTGAGCAGTGATTTAATGGTAGTTAATAAGACTCATTTCAAAAGACATACTAGGAATGGACACAGTAAGCTGCCCTCTGCCACCTTGTGGTAAATCTCCAGTACTGCATGGATGCTTTAATCATTATCGTAAACGTACATGATTTATGTTAAAGTTTCAATGTTTAACTTGTAATGCCCATGTGTAGTAAATGTGTGTTGAGTCTATAGTTGTTGTTAAAGGTGTAGGTTCATGGTGGAGGCACTGATTTTACACACGATCATAATGAGGAGCGTATAACTGCTATAAATTAATGTCTATGCTTTGTCAAGTCTAAGGATGATTGCCTCACTGATATTTACAGTAGATTAATTTGTGCAACATACTGGGTCTATGGAGTCTGGAGGGCATTTACAAAAAGACACACCATTAACCATATGTCAGGATATTTATGCCTTTGCTGTCTTAATTATGATCATTCTTTTTTCATAAATCTGTCTTTTCGGAGGCCTCTGGAGAAACATGTTGTGCACCTGTGCAACCTCGATTAACTAAAAGAATTCAAGGTAACACCAGGTGAGTATTTGATATACAAATGATCATTTTGGGGATGAAGCATTCCTTTGACTAACATTTTAAACAATGGACATTTACCTGTAATATAAGGTTTTTATATGGCACTCCAGAAAGCTAAGAGGGACATTTCTCTCATCTTTTAAGTCACAGATAAATCATGTTTTTACAGAAAGTAGCCAGCCGGACAGACCTTATCACAGCAGGGGAAGCAGGTGTTAATAATGTATTAATATATGTGAATGAATGGGAAAAGATCCTCACTTGCAAGCATCTGATACAGATATGGGACTCATGTTTGGAGTTAAACATAATATATTGTAGAACATATGAATTTCAAATAGAAATGAGTGGTCAGGTGGCGACCTTGAATTAAACCGAGGTCTGCAGCCTTCATTAGAGAGTCATTTCACCTGAGCTACAGAAGAGAGACGAGCTGCGTCTGAGATAGTGAACTCAGTAATTCCTCACACTGTCATGTGCCCCGTGATTTAAACTGGTTCTCTGCTTCTCTTTGTTAACTAGCTTCAGTATAATGATGTAGTTTTCTGTGATGTTCCAACACCATGGCTGGAGGCAGGAGTTTAGTCAGCAGCATGCAGGATCAAGAAAAGAAAAGTGAGCCACTGAAAATGGAGAAAAATGGCTTGCAGTACCCCAAGGTAGGAAATAAATTGCAGACGATAACTAGGGAAGCGAGGCACAAACAGCATAATAAATTGTTAGAGATCTTTTTTTTGGCTCTCATTTTGCAGAGCAAAATCAAACTTTGGAGTGCACAGTTGGCAGGCCATTAAAAGAATTACTTCATGCTCTGAAAACAGAAGGCTTGTGTCAATCCCTATATCTCACACAAAAAGACAACGCACTCCTCGGAATCACTTTGTGTTGTCTGCTGTATGGGTGGGTACGCTAATAACCTCAGATCACAGAGAGGCAAGCACAAATACAGTAAGTGACTTGGAAATAGCTTTGAACGAAACACATCTCTGTTGAATAAGCAGCTAAACCCAGAGCTAATGCACACTGGCATGGAGTAGATAAATATGTATGCACAAATATTTATGTCTTACAGTTTCTCAATATATCAATATTAATGATCTGCATTCTACACATTAAATAATTTAGCTAAAATAAATAAGTCATATTTTTGCCCACTCTATAAATATTCAACCGATCTGGATACATTTTTGTTGTCTGCAGACTACTTGTTGATAATAGCAGTCACTGGAGCAATGTACATTCAAAGATGTGTTAGTTGTTTGCTTAATCCAATCAATGTTTCATATGTTTATGAATATGAGAATTAGCAATCCAATCAACCACTCCAGACACCACACACTGTTTCCTCAAAGCACAGAGCAAAGATGTTCTGTAATATTATAAACAATAAATATATGTGTTTGGAATATTTGCTTTTACGTCATTGGATACAGGATATATACCCTTAGAAGCATATATTGCATATGTGGACCTAAAGCAAAGTTATGGCCAATTTAAAGGGACAATATAGTGCAATGCAATGTATCGTTGGGACAGTCAGATATAAAGTTAACCATGCTTAAAGCTTGGGTTCCTGCATAGTTCAATGACACATATGTCAACATAAAAAAACAACCAATTATCCGATAATTTGTTTCCTTCACGGTAATCAGAAAAAAATACCTTTACAAAATGTTTTACATATTGATTATGGCAAAATTAATGTTATCAATAAACAGCACGTACAAATAAATAAAAACCTGCATTGAAGTTTAAAGCAAAAAATAAATAATTATAATAAATAACACCTTTTCTACTTTACATGATGCTGAATTCTTAATGACTGATGAGGTTTAAATGGTCTGATGGTCTTCTGCGGAATCATGAAAATCACACTTGGGCCAGAAAGAAAAAAAAACATGTGACAGTATTAATAATGTATTTCCAGCATACATTCTGCATCATTATCCGACAATTTAAACGAGGGTTAAAGCTCACTGCTTTTCTTGTACAAGAGCAGTTCAACATTAAATATACAACAGTCGCACATTCTTTCTTTTTTAACCAGTAATACAACCATTTTGAAATTCAGTTAATGGTCACAGAAGACACATGTAATCCCTTCTGTCCAAGTTACACTGTGGATGACACAGTTACGACAGACACAGCCATTTCAAATGAAGAGTGTCAAGACTATTCAACAATATTACCCTCCGTGTTTCCAACATGTTCATTTGAAAGCAGTTTACCCTTCATTAATGAAATAAAAGTTAATATTGTGAAAATACTTTCTCATACCATTGAATGGCAATATTAAGAATGTGGTCACATTCTCATTAATAAAAAGACGAGCTCAGAGTGGTAAATTCAACTATTTATCCATTACTTTTAGCTAACTCAGTCAACAATTAATGCATACATGTTAGCTATTTCAGACATTAAGCCGTTAAGTTTAGCAAAGATTATCTAACCAGCTAGATTGCACTTTTTGGCTATCTAATTATCTAACCATTTATCAACTACTTTTAGCTATTTTTAACCCTTGCCAATCATTTTAGCCATTATTTAGTGGCTTTAGTAGTATTCCATGTCAACTGCAAAAGTAGCCCACCCCCTGGGGTGCAGTATGCTAGCCCTGGTTGGGAATCAGTCATTTACACAATTATTAGGCTATATATAAAATATTCCTATTTTATATCTCATTTTATAGTGAGTCCACTAGCAAGAAGTGTATCTCTGAACGAAAACGTAGGTTGTATATTGATTTGATATCAGGATGCATTTCAAGGTCATGAACCTCACTCAAATAAATTGTGTTGTCACATCTGTTCCCAACCATTTTCAAAATATGGCACCATGTGTCGCTTTAGTTAAGTAGTAACGTCATTATGGTGAGCTGTTTTAAGTTTGAATGTCGGGCAACTAAAGTGGACATGAAGCTTTTTCGGGGTGAGCAGTTTGGGTGACGTTCTTCCCTCTACCTCCTGCTGAACATCCCTCTCCTCTGGACCAGAGTGCAACCTGCGTGGTTTTAAAGCAAAATGGCGACAGTGTAACAGAGTGGAGAGCCGAGTAACTGGGTCAGGTGCAATGACAAACCAGAGGACAGCAGTCTTCGTCCTGAGGTAGGTGATACAGCCTGTCGGAACCTCTGATGTGCGCAGGGATACATTGTAGTCAGGTACGGTCATTAGTCTGCCGTGTGTCGCTGTCTCTGTCGTGGGTCGATGTGAAGGTATTCAAACACTGCAGTGACCAACAACTGGGAGCTAGTTTACCTCAACTTCTATGTGTTCGATATTGCTACACAAAGTGTTTCTCCAAGATGTCGCTGGTTCAGTTGTATCTCTGAGGCTCAGCCTGTGGGCAGAGCAGCTAGCTGACTGTCGCAGAGCCTGTCAAAAATAAAGTCACTGCTAAGTGCTAACAGAGCCAGCTCTTTGATATCTAGCTAAGTTGTTTCAGTTTGTACTAAAGGACAAACAGTTTGTGGTCACAAGCCGGATTTCTTTGGAGTCAAACGAGATAAACTTGGTTGTTACTTTGATATTTTTGTAGGATATGCAAAGCATTGATGTAGAGCTGCATGATAAACTTGGTTTATCATGCAGCTGCAGAGTGATGTGGTTGTATGGAAATTACAAGACGATAGTGTAAGTTGTTAGACGTCAAAAGTAAGGTCAGTGGCTAAAGCAAAGCAAACTCTGCATGTCAAGTTGAGATAGCATTGCCAACATTATTACTGCAGAGCTAGCACAGCAAAACATGACCGCACCTACTGTAAGCACATTTAAGCAGCCTTGATTCAAAACATCCTCAACTACATATTGAAGTTCTTAAATGATAAGAAGCAAGCATAAAAATAAAGACAATATTTACCTTCCTCCATTTCCTTTGAGTGTGGAATACCCTCACAGATTCATCACAGATGTACACTACTTTCTCCTATCTATTTGTCGACTTTCCACAAAAAATCCCACAATGCAATGTGTTGTATTTTATAGAATAAAAACATATTTTTGTGTAAAAGCCTAATATAACGTTCAGTAATGATGCAAATAGGTTTGATCAGAAAGTTCACTGTAATTATAAAGTTAACCAGTGAGTGTCTATGCACAGGGAGTAGGCTATAGCGAATGAGGGATGGCTATAGGTTTAACCAGACAGATTTGCAACATTGGTGTAATTCTTTAGATTTATTTTATTTTATTTTTATTGCAGGTCAAAACGACTACATTATCAAAAGCCCCAGCATGTCCCTTCACACGAAGCTGCTGTTTATGTTTCAAGCCTGCAAGCAACAGAGAAAAAGCATGTCAAACATGAACAAAACTTGTTTCTCTGCAGTTGCAGAAATAACACGTTGATCATTTTTAATTAACACATGGAAGACTTTTCGATTGATAGCTTGTTAAAATATTTTAGCCTTACCAGTAACGAAACAGCCAGAGAGCATCTGGTAGAACTTGTTGCCAAGTTAAAACACAGGTACGCCCACAGTCATTTTCTCAGAGCAGAATGTTAGGCAAACAGACGAGGTTGTCGTTGCTCCGCTGGTCTATGGTGCCTCTGCTACCTCACTTTGCTGGCAAGCTAGCAGGTGAGACTGCAGATTTGTTGTCATTGTAGTCAGACCACTGCTTTGTACAAAGTTGACAAAAGCCTTATCTTTGTTAGTTATTTTGCCATCTGAGGTGTGAAACTAAAATACTTCCGCACAATGCTCCTCTGTACTTGTGTCCTGATTGTTTGCTCAGGATGGCTTTCCTCGCTAATGACCTCCATTTTCATAGCAAAAGACAACACTGGCATGGTTTACTGAAAGGTCAATAGGTCATGCAATTAGTCAACCTGATCACAAAGTATTTGTATTTGTTTTATTGTTTTATGTCCTATATAACTATGTTGCAATGTTGGAGGAGCTTGGGACTTTATCATTGCCATTTCTACATTGTAGCTACTGTACATGCTTTTGAATCTTGAATCTTTGAATTTTGAAAAAGAAAACTACTAAAAATTCAGTTGTGCTTATAAACTGTAAAAACGATTTATATATTAAGTAAGTTGGAACTCATGTTCATGTCCATGTTGATGCCCTAGGATGGTGATAGTGAATAAATATCAGCAGTTATTGGTAAGAGTTTCATTTTGAATGGCGCTTCATACATCCATGATCCATCTATCCATTAGGCGAGTTCACACCGGAGTACTTTTCCCCGTACTTTTCCCGTTTAGTTCCGTCAGTGCCTGGAATTTTGCGTTCACACCAAAAAGAGTACTTAGTTCCGAGAACTTTTACCCCCATTTCTAGTGCCTGCTAGAGAGGTGGTACTATCCTGGGGAGAAAAAAGTACCAATTTCAATTGGCTGGGCGAATTGCAAACCACGCCCCGTAAAACTCAGAAAAGTTTTTTGAAGCCGCCATTGTATTTGCTGGCATTAGCATTATTAGCATTAGCATTAGCCCCGCGCACCAACGGAGAGAGAATAACTTATAGCAACACAAAAAAAAACATGGGAGCGGTGGAGTGATGAGGAGGTGTCGGCGTTCTGGCGATTTACTCGGAAGGCTTCAGTAGAAGCTGCTGGGAGTCCCAGCAGCTTCTACTGAAGCCAGTCCCCAACTCCGGGGACTTCGGGTGGCAGTATACGCCGTGAAGTGGTTTGCGGCCTGCCAGTAAACCCAAAGCAGAAGAAGAAGAAGTGACGTCAGCGGCTTCATTTGCGTAATCTTCCCTCAGTGTGGTGCAGTGGGTTGTGTGTTGGTTTTCGGATCAGGTGGTCACAGGTTCAAACCCCACTGCAGTCAGCATGTCGTTGTGTCCCTGGGCAAGACACTTCACCCCAAATTGCTCCTGTAGAGATTGCCCACAGTATTGAGTATGTAAGTCGCTTTGGATAAAAGCGTCTAACAAGTGACATGTAATGTTATTCCGGTGTGAACGCGATCTGTACTTAGTTCCATGGGGGTACTAAGTACGGCAAAGTACTTGGTGTGAAAAGCGGCTATACTGTCCATCCGTCCGTCCATCCTTCTATCCAAACATTTCAGTCTCCCATCTTTATCTTTTGCAATTTGTGATTTTCATCAACCATTGAACCAAAGAATTGCCAGCAGAGATAACAAGCATAGTTGCATTACTCATATCTCTGTAATCAGCTCAGGAATAGAGGTTTTATCAAATCAAAGCGTAGTCCATGACTCCCTGCAGGTGTCTATAAGAAGAGCTTACGTGGCTATAGGAGGAAGTCAATGGTAGCTTTTCAGGTTTTACTGCTCGACTAAATAAATCAGACGGTCGAGGCATTTTATCCACAAATTGATTAAATGTCACTTGACAAGGTCAAATATTTTAACCAAGATGCTTAAAGTCCCTGAATGCTCAGCATAGCAAACAGTTCTGTGTTCTCTGCTGGCCTGCCCGGCTGCTTACACTGCTATAAATGAAGACACCGGGGACTACTTAAATGGGAGAACACTGGCCTGAATTAGCAACTCAGCTGAGGAACAGCTGCAGAGAGGAGATATTTTAGTAATCAGGTAGATCTACCAAGAACATTGAGGTCTGCAGAATTATATCAAAGGTGAGGAAATAAGGGCGGGCATCCATGGAATCACTGAAAGACTCATTAAACCTCTGCATGGAAATTCATTTATATCAAAGTTGTTTTCTCTAGGTGATGAACATATATATAGCTGTTCTATTTTCACTCATAATATATATGCCTGTTCCCATTTGGCTGTATATAAGTGTTATCTTTACAAACATTTTCATGTTTAATCATTAGAAAATAGTTAAAGTTGCATCCAACACAATTTCCCAGACACCATGGTTATTTTAGTAAATGCTTGTTTTTTCTTAACGCCAGGTATTACATAAATCCATACGCATTATTGCTTTTGATGTAACGTTCTCAAAATGGTTGTTGATTATTGTTTTGCGGGAAATCGATTAACATATCCTCTTAGCTTCAGTTTCCGTATTGTAAACATTTGAAAAGTTAATTAACTACCCTTGGCAAACCATTTTCTTAATTGAATGTTCAAATTGAGCTTTAAGTTGAAGAATAACCAGGAAACATAATGGACTGTCCCTAACTTTGTTGATGGTGCTGACTTTTTCTTCACATTTAGGCTAACAATGATCCTGTAAAATACTGTGGCAACACCAAGGCTGTGCCCAATCATTGTTTTAATTGTTTAGTCTGTTAATTATGTTTCCTTTCTTAAACCACAAAAAGGGAGGAATGTGTTTGATAAATGATTAACATATAATCTGAGTATTTATTGCTTAACCCTTTGGGTTTGGACACAAACACAAGAACACAAAAGATCCTGTAACACAATTTATCTTCTGATCATCACAACGCTTATCTGACGCTGCGATAATCATGTACTTGTGTGGATTTATTTAGCAAGAACAAAAATCAAGCTTTTATTTTTGGATCCTAATACAGAGTCTGAATTTGGAGGGACAGATTTCCTGAGGCAGGGTGTGTCAGATGTGATCACAAAATCTTACTGAAGCTGAGATGTTTTTCAGTTCTCTGTCGTGAGCAGTTTAAAGTTTAAGTTTGTTCTCTGTTACAGATGAGTTTACCAGGAGCCATGAGAGGGAATCTGTGCTTCAACATTCACTGGTAAGTACATTACTTTTCTTATTTCTTTCAATGTATCTTGTTAAATATTCTGCCTCGTTATTGAGATCCACTTTCTCTAATTTGACAAACACAGGTGTTAGTAGAATATCGTCTCTTATTATCAGCTTTATGATTCAGACGGGAATCACAACAGGCTGACCTCCTGTGGAGCGACATATGTTTATTCAAATAGCCACTGATCTGAAATTAAAAGTATTTGAGCGGGTAAAACTCAAAATGAGTGTTGATTGCTTTTTAATTGAAAAGAAAGAAAAATGTGTGTGTCTGTGGAGTCTAATGTTCTTGTTAGTATTATCATCATTATAATCACAATGGCAGAGCATAAAGCTAAAATGTGACCGTCTCTGAAGAGGTGTTAGCATTCAGAGGCACAGTAGTATGTCTCCTTACCGGCTTAACACCTGAAACTGTAGCTCCGACGTGTGAAATGCTCTCAAACTGTAGCTGGGTGTGATTAGCAGTCAAATTAAATCTGAGATGTCAGTTACATGTGTCAGTGCTTCCACTCCTACACTTGGCAGGTTGTAGGGAGTGACAAGCTGGCTGTTGATTATTCTCCGGTGTGAAACCCAACCAGTGTTTACTCCAGTCTTTGTTCAATCCTCTTAAAAATGTAAGTCCCTATTTTGATGTGGAAATTGTCACCATGATGAATGTGTACCATAGTAATCTAATCATGAAAGGTATTATTTGTAACTTTTTTGAGTTAAAATGTCTAAAAACGACTAGACCGGTGTTTTTGAGTTGCATTATTGCATTAAACCATATACTTTTTTATGTTCAAACCTAGAGTAAACCATCGGTTTCAATGTCATGGGGCTTTCATATGGTTAGCTTTCATGGCGACATCATTTTAATCCGGTTTTAATAAAGATTTTGATCAACCTTTTTTATTCATATAAGGATTTTATGATGTCTGGAACTTAAGATATCAGAAAAACAGGCTGAGCAAAAGTTAGTGTCAGGCCAACCGCATTGAAGAAACATCATTTTTAACATGAAACTGATTTATTAAGTATTTTTAATAGTTTTACTTCCCGGATCCATTTGTTTTGAAGAGGAGGAGTTAAGTTTGTACCACCATGGTCCAATCATAAAAGGGAGCACTACCGCATTACAATTTGTTATAACTACGAGACCAGTGTTAAATATGTTTTTTAGTTGCTAACGTTCACTGTCCCCATTGTTTTTAACTACATTCAGACATAGTGAAATCTCAAATGTTAATCAGGGTTCCATTGATTCATCTGTAATGTCATTGTATAGCTGTGAAAATGCTTCAGCGTCTTGGTTCTCTGCCAGAAGGTGACATTATTCAACTTTTTTTCCAGTTCTGAGAAACAAGCTATGCAAAAGTTTACTTCAGTTAAAGAAATACAGATTTTTACATTGAAACGGCACTATTAAGTGTTCTTTCAGTTTTATTTGCTGGGGCCGTTTGTTTTGGGTAGGAGGCGGATAATTCCAGATAATTCAGCTCCGGGGTAAAACACTTCTTAACTATGAACAATGAGGGAACCCTGACAGGGAGAAGATGACAAAAGTTTTGTTAATGGCACTGAATAACTGCTACTTACCAAATCGTACTTAAAATGATAAAATAAATGTGCATTTTAATCAAGGGTTCATGTATCATATCCATTAGTCCGATGAGACACATTTAACATTATTATGCAAAATACTTACTGAACCTACATTTCTCTGCAAAGTCCACGTAAGTTTACAGAGGAGGTTGAGGTGGATGGATGGCTCAGTTAGACGAAGACTTTCCCTCAGGAGACTGCTGTTTGTGTCCTGAAGCACAGCTTAAGAAAGAGCAAACGGAATTGAATGGCATGTATGACCATAATTAGCCTTTATAAAACTTCACTTTTACAAACATTTGGTTTCGAAAAGCCTGTATAAACCGCTCTGCATCCATAAATCATGACATTTTGAATCTATATGTTGTGTTAGGGAGGACCAGGATCCTTGTTGCCAATATGATTTGTTACACATTTGTTTTACACATGTATGTGCAATTACATGGACTTAAAAACCTCTTACTGAAACGTAATGGTGAACATTCACTGCTGCTGCAGTAGGATGGAGTTATAAGGCAGTTTCTCCCTGTCTTAATGTGATGGCAGCCCTACTGAGAGGGATTTGCAGAAACATATTTTGGATGAATTTGTAGAGATCAGGGTTCATTCTCTGGTTTTGATTCTCCGGTGCAGTCTGATTTATATAAAAACCCTCAAGCTAGAAGCTTTTGAAGCCAGTTTATTTCAATCCAAACTTGGATTTCCATTCTTTTTTAGTTTCTAGTTTGGGATGTTTTTCATGTTCACAATCCTGGATTTACATGTACATTGAGTGGCAGAGTGATTTTAAAGAGCCATGGGAGTTACTCTTTCTTGGAGAAGGTTTTGTTTGAAAGGAAAGACAGATTTCCGTTACTTAAATCTAAGAAGCCGGCAGGTGAGATTGCTTTTTGTCCAAGGCTGAATGAAGCAGTAAGTCAGGAGCTGCAGATGTCCACAATCCAGCCTCTGCAGATCAAGCCTCCAATTATCCTGTTTCACTCGGGTTATGGACCGTTTCCTCCACTAAGGGGCAGAATATGATCACTGATGCGCTCAGCCCTCGCTCAAGGGGATGATACAAGGACAAGCAACATCAGCTAATGTGCAGTGTGTAATCACATTAAATTGAATCAAAGGAATGATGCATGAAAACAAAGAATAGCTTATAATACAAAAAAAGAACATTTTGTAATTAAATGAAACCTGAAAGTAAATCAAAGATAAAAAGAGTCATGTTAATATACAGAATATTCGAAGGTATTATCATGATAAATATAGGTTGTGTTTTTTGCATTTTACTAACCTGATGATTAAATCTTGATTACAGAGAAATATATTTTGCTATATTTTAGGCCTGATCAAGATAAACCAAAGTCTGCAAGAATGTGAAGTCAGTATTTAACACCTCACAGGTCCAAACAGCTCTGTGTTTGAGGGTTTGGATTAGAGAGCTTCCGTTGAACATGAGCTGAGAGGCGGCTAACCCTTTCTGCGGTACTGCTCTAAGGTTGAGCTCAGCACTTTCCTCATTAATGTCCCACTTATTCTCAGAGTTGGCTGTGATATTTTAGAGATTTGAGCATGCGGGGCACAGGTTAGGCACAATTATGCTGACGGAGGGCTTTTACAGCTATGCTCAATGAAATCTGGAGTGTAGGATTAGACATGCAGAAAGTTATATAGTGATTAACCTTCATTTGAGTCCCCTCCGTGATCTCCAGAAGACAAATCCGCCTGCTGTCAGGTATATTTCTCCACCTTGATAAATGACCTTCAAAATGATAGATTGAGGCATTTTTTCCTTCTTTTTATGCTTTTGAAGCATTTGTTTGCCCTTTTCAGGAAGTTCAAATGCTTCCTTAAAATACAAACCTCTTCGATTTTCTTTGGATGCATGGCAGTATCGATTCAGAGGTAACTTAAAGGTCCTCCGTGGAGTTACTGACCACTAGGGGCGCTGTGGAGCATGACAAAAATACCCAGTTAATGTATCCTTGCGTTATGTCTTATTACATTTTTAAAGGAAAGTGTCAGTCTCTTATCATTGCAATGAAACGTATGTTCTGCACGAGTCATCACGTCATGAGTCATCACGTGTTCTTGCCACTTTTTCATATTTTCCGCAACAATCGTTGGCTGCAGGTGCCTTTTGTTGGTGATATTTGGTACTGGGGAGGATTTAGTGCCACACCAATTATTTTACCAATGAAGTGTCTGCTGCTTCTTCAAAAGACCATATATTTATACAATTACAGGTCAGATTGTATCAGATTGTAGTTCAAGGGGATAATAAAATACCAACATTATTACCACAACCAAATAACTTGATTTAAAAAAGGTTTAATGAAACATCAGCTTTTGGTTGGAATTCTTTTTGCCCCCATTAAGTGATTTCTGTTTTGGAAAATACATTTTGGGGGATTTATTTTCAGTGTGTGTTTGTTGGGTTTATTTATTCAGGTTTCATCTGCAATAAAAAAAATAAACCAAGTGTTATTTTTCTATCAAGAAACTGGGAAAACATCCTGTTAATCTGTTAATGATATAGAAAAACTATTGAAAGCTATAATGTCACAGTAAAGCTCCATTTAATCAACTGAATATATTGATGCCATCATTTTCTACTTATTATGCTTAGACATTTAACACTACCATGCATCTATATTAGTTCATGTCATGACTTTCTAATCATCGCTAATCATTATTTCCTTAAATGCAGCATGATGAATGAAGCTATAGCTAACGTTATCTTGTTCATGCGTTTGCTCTTTGACGCCACAGAAAGAAGCCTTTCATAACAATGGCGGGTCTCCTCCCTCGCCCCTTCAAGAAAGGACATTTTTGAGCCCCTTTGATTTGCCCCGATTTGTTTTGATGTGAGGAGTGAGTGGTTTTTAAAATCTCCTTAACTCCCCAGGCCTGGCCCAGCCTCCCACAGGGCTAATGACCGCAGCCCGGCCCGTGCTGAATAATACAGACGCTTGCTCGGTGGAAGTGGGGAGGAGGGCATGGGGTTAGACGTGGGCCCTCCTTCTACAGTACACCTCCATTGATAAGATTGTATTAATTGGTATGAATAGAGAGGGATTTCTCCCTCTCCTTGTATACATTTAGCATTATACTCATTAGCTTCCCTTTGCCTCCCAGCGAGTTTCTCCTTCACATCCCCCGGGGTCTCCTGGGAGGCAATTTGCATCTCTCCATGGTGTCCCTATGGGGTTATTGAGGAAATATTAGCCTCTTTTCTTCTGTGGCCGACCCTTTGATTTATTAGGATCTGGGGCTGATAGAGTGCCACTCACATGTTAATGACTGGCGCTGATACAGGCCCCCGGTGCAAGACCACGCATTGATCCGGGTTGAAAAGGTACAATTGACAAGCGGCACTGAATAATCGCCTTACACGCGTCTGTG